TACGGTATTATTAAAATTTATGCACCAATCAAAAAATTTTTAAGGCAATGTCTTGAATCTGAAATTGATCAAACATGCAATAAGGATGCAATGCTAATTATTGTTGGTTGAGATGCAAGAGTTGGAAACAAAGAGGAAAGAGCAGTGGTTGGGGAATATGGCCTCAGTAGTAGAAATGAAGCTGAATATTACATGATAGAATTTTGCAAGACCAATGAGTTATTAATAGCAAATACCTTTATTCAACATCATAAATGACAATTACACATGTGGACTTCTGCAGATAGAATACACAGAGATCAAATTGATTATATCTGTGGGAGGAGACATTGAGAAGCTCAATATTAGCAGGTAAAACTGAGTCAGGGGCCAAAGATGGAACAAGCCATCAATTGCTCATATGTAAGCCTTGAAGCTTAAGAAAAATCACGCAAATCCACAAGTGCCAAAAAACAACCTTGAATATATCCCACCCGAATTTCGAGAATATCTCAAGAATAGATTTGAGTCATTGAACACTGACAGAAGACCTGCTGAGCTGTGTGAGAATATTTAAAAATGTCATACATGAAGAAAGCAAGATGCCATTAAAAAGACTGGAAAGAAAGAAAAGATTGTCTTAAGGGACTCTGCAACTTGGTTTTAATCAGAGTAGTTAAAGCAAATGGAAGATATGATGAAGTAAAAAAACTGAACAGAAAAATTCAATGGGCAGCTCAAGAAGATGAAGTAAAGTATTATAATGAATACTGAAAAAATAGATTTTATAAAACTAAAAAGGAATAAGATGCTCAGAATATTTTAAGCTGGAAGAAATGAAGAAAAAAACTAAATCCTTGAGTTGTAATATTGAAAGATTCCATGAGCAAAATTGTGAACGTTGCAGGAAGCATCAAAAGAAGATAGAAGGAACACACAAAGTCAAGCTACCAAAAAGAGCTAGTTGACATCCAGCCATTTCAAGAGGTAGCATATGATCAAGAACCAAGGATACTGAAGGAAGAAATGTAAGTTGCAATAATGGCAACAGCCAATAACCAAGTTCCAGGGATTGACGTAATATCAATAGAAATGTTTCAACTAGCTGATGAGGCACTGGAAGCCCTCCTCCGGCTATGCCAAGAAATTTGGAAGACAGCTAGTTGGCTAACTGACTAGAAGAGATTCATATGTGTACTCATTCCAAAGAAAGGTGACCCAAAAGAATGTTCACGTTACAGAACAATGTCCTTAATGCCACATTTAAGTTAAATCTTGCTGAAGATTATCGAACAATGGTTGCAGCAGTACAATGACAAGGAGCAACCAGATTCAGGCTGGATTCAGAAGAGGATGTGGAACAAGGGCTATCACTGCTGATATCGGAAGGATTTCGGCTGAAAGCAGAGAATGCTAGAACGATATTTACTTGTGTTTTATTGACTATGCAATGGCATTCAACCGGGTGGATCATAAACTATGGATAGCTTTGAGAAGAATGGGAATTCCAGAACACTGTATTGTGTTCATGAAGAACCTGTAGGTGAATCATGAGGCAGTTGTGGGACCAGAATGAGGGCATACTTCATGGAATAAAATCAGGAACGGTGCATGTCAGGTTCGTATCCTCTCATCATACTATTTCAATCTGCGTGCTGAGCAAATAATCAAAGAAGTCAGACTATATGAAGAAGAACATGGAGGAAAGCTTTGTTAACAGACTTCCATATGCACATGACTCAACGCGCTTACTGAAAGTGAGGCAGACTTCAAGCACTTGCTGATGAAAGTCAGGGATTAAACTTTCAGTATGGATTACAACTCAGTGTAAAAGAAACACAAAATCCTCACAAGTGGACCAGTATGTATAATCATGATAAATAGAAAGAAGATCAAAGTTATCAAGGATTTCATCTTGCTTGTATCCATAATCAATGCCCATGGAAGCAGCAATCCAAAGATTGAATGACAAGCACATCGGGTAATTCTATTGCAAAATATCTCTTTAAAGTGCTGAAAAGCAAAGATGTTGCTGTGAGGAATAAGGTGCACTGACTCCAGCCAGAGTATTTTCAATCACCTCTTACGCATGTGAAATCCGGACACTGAATTGACGAAGAATTGATGCATTTGAATTATGGTGATAGAAAAGAATATTGAAAGTACCATGGGTTGTCAAAAGAACAAACTATTTGGAAAAAGGACAGCCAGCATACTCCTTAGACGCGAGGATGGTGACAGTTTGTCTCACATTTTTGTACATATGATTAGGAATGACCGGTCCCTGGAAGAGAACGTCATGACGGCTAAAGTAGGTCAGTGAACAAAAGGAAACGCTCAAGGAGATTGACTGACACACTTGATTCAACGGTAGATTCAAGGGTGCAGGATCAGGCAGCGTGTTATTCTACCGTACACAGGGTTGCTGAAAGTCAGAACAGCCTAGATGGCATGTAACAGCAACAACATGGACTACTAGAAAAGTAAATTCCTCTTGGAAGAACACCGGGAAGCTCCTTAGATGTAAGGATGGCAAGACTTTATCTCACGTACCGTGGACAGCTTATAAGGAGGAAATAGTCCCTCGAGTACAACATTAGGCTTGGAGGAGTAGAGGGACAGTGAAGAAAATGAAACCCTTCGACGAGATGGATTGATGTAGTGGCTGAAGCAATGGGCGCAAAGAAACAAAAATTAAACCCACGGCCATCAAGTCAGTTCTAATACATAGTGACTACACAGGCTCAAAAAACATTTAAGATGGTGCAGGACTGGGCCTTGTTTTGCTCTGCTGTATATAATGTATGCAGGAGTCAACTTGATGCTTCCTAACTACGTCACTGTCTGTTTTGTGTAGCTTTTTGAAATAGATATAGGATTAGAAAACGCATCTTGCAAGTCTAATCTAGAGCTATGATTTTTTTAAATGGTGGGAGTATTAAAAATGTTGTGCACTACTGATTGTGAATAAGATATGTAGATTATCAACAATGAGGTTAAGCAAAAATAGACTAAAATATGTAGGCAAGTATAATGAGAGGAAAAAGAGACAAGTATAGTGTTTGGCTATGACCAGAGAGTGAGATATTGGGGTATTTTGAAACTTGAAATATCTGAGATATAATATCTCAAAGCTAAAGAAGAAGTAAAGGGAAAGGTCACTAGAGTTATGAAGGCTAGATGGCACTAATAGAGATGCTGAAATATCCTAGAACTATGGCAGGAGTTGGGAAGAAGAAAAAGGCAAGATAGCAAGTTTCAAAATCTTTAATGAAAGAAGTTGAGCAACTAGAAGTATAGCCATACTGCATAAACTATAAAGGAAAACAAGTTTTGTCATCAATAAGAAAATATTATATCACCATATAGAATACCAGGTATAAAAAGGGTTAAAAAACAAAGGATATTTTCCCAATGGAATCAACTCCACAGTCAAGTGACTGAAGCTATTTCAAAGGGGATTCAAAGTAGAATTTCATTCGAAATTGGACATTGGTATAGGAAAGTAAACAAAAAAAATCACCTTAAGCTTTCTTTCCTAGGAGGATGATAATATCATTGAAAGAGATAAGGGAGGTGGAGAGAAGATCTGTATACTTTGGGAGAGGTAAAAGGATAGGCTGGAGGAAAACATGTCAGTTTTCAAGTATCAGTGTAAAAGATGTCTTATAGGTATTGGGGCTCAAAAAATGCTTGCAGAGCATATTTCCAGTGCCTTGCAGATAGTAGCTGCCCTGAAATATAAGATAATTGTCAGGAATGGAGAAATAGATAGGAAGAAGACTGTTACATAGAGGGGATTACAACTGATGTCACAAACGCAATGTATACAAATTGTTGAGTGGGAAACTAAATTGCTCTGTAAACTTTCACCTAAAAATAATTTAACGTTCAAACAAAAAGATTATGCAGAAAGTTCAGAGAGTTTCCATTTACCCATTCCTCACAGAATGTTGTTTCTCTTGTTTACATCTAGCATTTCTATGGTATATTTATAATTGTTGAGTCAATATTGGTACCTTATTATTAACCAAAGCCCATAATTTACATTAAGGTTCACTCTTTTGTTGTACAGTTCTATGGGTTTGGACAAATACATAATATTATGTGCCTACCAATTAATAGCAATTTTGAAATTAAACCAATCCAAGTTCATGGTATACTTTTTTTAAAAATCATTTTATTGGGGACTCATACAACTCTTATCACAATCCATATATACATCAAATGTGTAAAGCACATTTGTACATTCACTGCCCTCATCATTCTCAAAACATTTGCTCTCCACTTAAATCCCTAGCATCAGCTCTTCATTTCCCCCCTCCCTCCCCACTCCTCCCTCCCTCATGAACCCTTGATAATTTGTAAATTATTATTTTGTCATATCTTACACTCTTTGACGTCTCCCTTCACCCACTTTTCTGTTGTCCGTCCCCCAGGGAGGAGGTTATATGTAGATCCCTGTAATCGGTTCCCCCTTTCCACCCCACCCTACCTGTATCACCACTCTCACTACTCGTCCTGAAGGGATCATTCATCCTGGGTTCCCTGTGTTTCCAGTTCCTATCTGTACCAGTGTACACCCTCTGGTCTAGCCAGATTTGTAAGGTAGAATTAGGAAGCAACAAAGCCCACATGGAAGAAGCACACCAGCCTGTGTGATCATGAAGTATTGAAGGGATCAGGTATCAGGCATCAAAGAATAAAACATCATATCATTGTGAATAAAGAGGAATGCGGAGTGGGGACCCAAAGCCCATCTGTAGGCAACTGGACATCCCCTTACAGAAGGGTTGCGGGGAGGAGATGAGCCAGTCAGGGTGCAGTGTAGCCACAATGAAACACAACTTTCCTCTAGTTCCTAAATGCTTCCCCCCGCCCCCCCCCACACTATCATGGTATACTTTTTAAGCCTGACAAAACTTAAGATAAAGAGTAAAATTATAATTTACTTGCCTAGTGATATGTGCCCTTATGCAAACATTTAACATAATTTCTGCGGCTAGAAATAAAATACATACCTTGAACCACAACATCTGGCTTTGGTACAGTAGAAAACCTACGATTTAGAGGATCAATCTCTCCAGGAGCTAAAAATCCCTAAAAGAAAATAATAAAAGGCATATTATTAAGTATCAAAAATAATAAATTTAAAATCTTATGTTTGAGAGGAAAACACATCTCAATACTCTTAACCCTGCAATGTGATATGCAAGCAGTAGGTATAATTAGGAAACAAATACCTTTACTGTGGAAAGAATAAAGAAGCATGTACCAGACAGGAGCCCTGGTGGTGTAGTGCTTATGAATTGGACTGCTAACTGCAAGGTCAGCAGTTCAAAATCACCAAGCACTCTGTGGAAGAATGACTGGGCTCTCTATTTCCATAAAGAGTTACAGTCTCAGAAACATACAGGGGCAGTTTTCTACCCTGTCCTATAGGGTCGCTATGAGTTGGCATCAACTCGATGGCAGTGCGTTTGTTTGTTTGATTTCGGTTTGATACTAAAAAGAACTAGTCAACATTCAACAATTTCAAGAGGTAGCATATGATCAAGAATCAATGGTACTAAAGGGAAAAAATCTAAGCCTTACTGGAGGCAGTAGTGAAAAACAAGGCCCAAGGATTGATGGGATACCAATTGAAATATGTCAACAAACTGATGAAGCCCTGGAAGCATTCGTCTATACCAAGAAATATGAAATATGGCTATTTGACCAACTGACTGAAAGAGATCTGTATTTGACTAACTCCAAAGAAAGGTGATCCAACCCAATGCTCAAACTATAGAACAATATCACTGAAATCAAATGCAAGTAAAATTATGCTGAAGACCAAGCAACAAAGTAAAATTTTCTTTGTTCACCCAAACAAAATGTTGCTGAAGATCACCCAATGTGCAGCAGCACATTGACAGGGAGCTGCCAGCGTTTCAGGCCAAATTCGGAAGAGCATGTGGAACATGGGATATCATTGCTGATGTCAGATGGATCTTAGATGAAAGCAAAGACCACCACAAAAATATTTACTTGTGTTTTATTGACTACACAAAAGCTTTCAACTGTGTGTCCCGTAACAAATTATAGATAACCTTGATAAGAATAGGAATTCCATAATAATTAATTGTGCTGTTGTAAGAACAGAGCAAGGGAAAATTGTATGGCTTAAAATCAAGAAAGGTGTGTGTCAGGGTTGTATTTTCTCACCATAGTTTTTCAATCTGTATACTGAGCAAATAATCACACAAATTGGATTATATGAAGAAGAATGTGGCATTGGGATTGGAAGAAGGCTTATTAACAACAAATGCGGATGACACAACCTTACTTGAAAGTGAGTAGGACTTGAAGTTATTGCTGATGAATGCTGAAGATCATGGATTGCAGTCATCAGTATGGATTACAACTCAATGCAAAAAATACAAAAAACAAAAATCTTCACAACTGGTAATACCATGAAAAACAGAGAAAAGATTGAAGTTATGAAGGATAGCATCTTGCTTGGATGTACAATCAATGAGCTCACGTAAGCAGCAGTTATGAGATTGAATGACACATTACATTGGGTAATTCTGCTGTGTAAGGCCTTTTTAAGGTTTTTACTTTGAGGATTATGGTGTGCCTGACTCAAGCCATGGTATCTTTTTTTAAAAAAAATCATTTTATTGGGGTCTCTTACAAATCTTATAACAATCCATCATTCAATGGTATTAAGCATACTTGTACATATGTTGCCATCAACATTTCCTTCCAAAACAATGTCTTTCTACTTGAGCTCTTGGTATCAGCTCCTCTTTTTCCCCTTCCCTCCCCCATTGTGGTAGTTACATAATCTGTTGTCAATTTGAGAGGATTAAGAATGAAGGGGTGGAGTTTAGCCTGTCAATGACGTTGCAGCTTGATCACCTCATTTGGAGGTGCTAAGGAGATAAACAGCTCGCTAGAGACAGGACATATACTCCCTGCAAGACATGCTTGCTGAGAAGCCACATGGAACTACCCTGATGCAGCCAGAGCCCTGGGAGCTAGCTCTGCGAGGCTTCTACCACCACTGGATCCACAAGATTTTCCACCCACTGGCCTGAAATCTTCCTGCATTCTGCGTCATTGCATGGCTGCATGAGTCTGAAGAATTTATGGACTAGTATCAACATATGGGGTAATATTGGATTTATGGACTTTTATCTGGACTGGGCTGGGATATTTTCTCAATACTCAATTGCTCTTGTATACAAAGTTCTTTCTTATATACATACGAATATCCATGAATTTTATTTCTCTAGTCTACCAGACTAATATACCCACCCACATGAAACCTTGATCAATTATATATAATTGTTGTTCTTTTGTGTCTTACACTGTCCATTGTCTTCCTTCATCCACATTTGTTATTCATCCCCATGGGGAGCCTATATATCCAACTTTCTGGTGAGTTCCCCCTTTCTCCCTCTCCCCTATCCCCCTCCCCTCATGATATCGGTACTCCCACTACTGTTCCTGAGCGTTTTATCTGTCCTGAATTCCATGTGTCAACAGCTCTTATCTGTACCAGTGTGTATACTCCGGTCTAGCCAGATTTGTAAAGCAGAACTGAGTCAGGGTAGTCAGGGTG